AATTTCGAAGGTAACATTTACTAAAAAGCAGGACATGAACACTGATTAACAGGAGACCTCTCTTTGAGAAATTTAATCCAAGTAGTAAAGTGTACAGTAGCAGGCAATTAAAAATACCATTTTTATTTTTCTTATTTTAAAAAAATTGAAAACCTGCACGTCGGATCTTCCGACAAACTCAACACTACAGCTGAGTCTCACACATATTTTGCTAAAAGACTTCTACATCACAGAACAGATCATGCACTTGTCTCCTTTCTTTACAGTTTACAAACAAGTAAGAATGGTCAACAGATTAAGATAGCTGAAACACTGAGGAGAATAACTTTTGAATAAGAAGATAATTGGCAGCCACCAAACATCCATCCCATCTTTCTCCTGAACTGTCAATCGAGATAGGTGACATCTTTAAAAATGGCACATTGAAGAATATTCAAAGGCAACAGGAAAGGAGGAAAAATAACAACATCCACAGCGTCATCTAAGATGACACGACTTTCAGGTACACACCAGATAGTATACGAAGACACCTGGAGGCAGAACTTTTACAGATCATTGAAGGGTCAGAAAAACAAAGGATCTAAGTCACATTTTGTAAAAATATAGATCTAGTTCTTAAAATTGTGTGAGGCATCATGGTGAAATCAGACGCCCGTCAAAATAATGAAATCCAAGAACCAGGCTTTTGTTCTCAAGTTGGCCAATACTTTTCAAATTTTTGCTTTTTACTTAACACCTTTCATGTCTTTGTAAAAACCCATTTCCCTGTGATGTGAATTTTCCTGAAAGTCATTAAGGTGTCAAAATAAGTAAATTTGCAGTTTTCAAGGATACTTATGAAACCAGGAGAACCCCGCCTCCTTCAATTATAAATATATCTCGACTTTTATTCTAGATGTGTATTTTTTAAAACTGAAAGCGAGGCAAATTAATAATCTTTCAGATGAAACCAATAACTCCACACGCCCAAAAATTGACGAGCGCCTGATTCCACCACGTTGTAACACATATTGATGACACAGGTCAGGGGAGACAACACAACACAGTATTTGAGTGAAATGAATGGATGGCTTGAAATCAGAGTTATGGTCTATATATATTACACAATCTCGTTGGTAAGTAAGGCCGTTAAAAAAATAAATTATTTCTCCATTTTTCTCTAACAATCTCCAGGTGACTTAGAATCTCCTTTATTTTTCTGACATTTTCAATTTTTAAACTTTAACAGAAAAAAACTAATTCAGAACAGTGGATCATTTACCTCATGATGCACTTCCTAATTCCACACAGCGACCAGAGGACAGCCCCTAGCCCCAGGGTCTCAAACTCTCATATTTTGCAGCCCCTACTCAACATCAACAAAGTATAGTGTTAGTGCAGCCTTCCCTCAAGCCAGATGTGGCTGAGCTATTTAACAGTGTAACAGAAAGGGCTTCAAGGTCTCTGATCAGAAACACCGGTCATTGAGAAAATTAGTTCAGTCGTACATAATTTGTCTAATGCTTGAAACCCTTTTATATGTAGATGAGGCAGCCTAGGCTCACTCAGACTCGACCTCCAGCAGCACCCCAGTTGTATAAGACCCCAGCCCTAACCGCTTGGGTACTGGGAAAGTAGGGGGATGGAAGTGATTAGTAGATTTACTGTGCACCAGCAAAAGGTAGGCCTACAACCCCTGTAAGTTATACGGTGAAAAAAAAACCATGACCATCTGGGCTCAATAAATGTAACAGTGTAATAGTTATTTATTATATTATCTCTGCTTTGCTTTCTGCTTTGTTCCGTCTTCTTCCCTCTTCCCACCAAGGTAAGTGCTCCGCCTTCAGAATGAACTATTCGTTCCCCAAATAATAACGTTAAACCCATGAAAAAAATACATTACCTCAGAAAATGGATGTCCATCACGAGCAAAATAGCATAAAAAGAAAAGATGAGCAGCCCTCTCCCCTCCCTCTTGTCTCGCTATAGTTTGGTAAAAACACCGTACACCCTCCACAAAAAATACAGTTGTGACTAGAAGTCAGTAATCAGAGGTGACTAGAAGTCAGTAATCAGAGGAGACTAGAAGTCAGTAATCAGAGGTGACTAGAAGTCAGTAATCAGAGGCTCACACAATATTTTCAGATTTAAATCCCTTTCAGAAAACAACAATTACACTTACAGCAAATGGAAAAACAATCAGTCTTAATTGCTGTATATCATTTAATCACATCACAAGTACTTGTGTAAAGTGGAAGAAATATCATCCAAAAGCCACAGGCCTGTAGAGTAGCGTACACAATTCAATACAACAAACAACAAGTCAGAGGCGACACTCTCAGCTATCCCAACACTTCCCTCTTGACAATCAATCCAAAACATAGCACTCTTCAAAAACATTTTTCTCAATAATATGCAGTAGGTATATGTGGCAAACACACGTACACCTCGCCACAATTTGCCCCTACCATAACTCTTAACTCAGACCCAGCCTGCTGAGTACTTCCACAGCCACCAACAGTAAAAAAGAATACAGAGAAACATTTTCTGGAGTCATCAAGTTATAATAATCTCGACATGTCATTATTTTTCCAAACTCATTTCTTTTTTTTCATTTTCATAATCTACAAAGTTCAAAGAAGTTAAAATTTTACATCTTTCTAAGAAGGCCATTTATGAACCACAAAGATAGCGCTTTACCAGAGTTCTATGGTCACTCTGTCAGATACAAAGCTGAACCTACACTAGCGACCACCTGCCCAAGACAACACCTGTGCAAACAACCACTCCCCACTTGCCATTCTTTATACATAATAATGAAACTTTCAAACACATCCACCCATCTAACAATCACTTTTCTCTTTGACAATGGGTGCCGTCTTAGACAATTTTTAAAATAATTTTTTAAAAGAGAGCTATTGTCTGCGACTTGCACGAGTGACAGGCAACAGACACACAATACCAGCTGTAAATACATGCCAAACAGACACAAGGTCACACAAAAAATATCAATGAACAGTAAAAGCACATACATGGCATGAACAAAAACAACGGCATACACCCAGTACACAATGAAAATCACAGACTGGCTGACCAACAGTGGAGACCATTTTATGGATTGAGAACAAAACAACGTTCACTCAAAATTTTCTAAACTTCTCGCATGGCACTGACGATTTCTAGACTGCCCACTCTACTCTGAGAATTCTGCATTTTTTCCAGCTGGAGGCAGGGGGCAGAGAACAGCAGTGAATTTGCTCACAGCAATACTCGACCAGGGGTCTCAAACTCACAGTTCGCAGGCCAGTTGATATTTTGCAGTCTCTATTTGACATCAAAATCTAGAGTAAGTGCAGCCCACATGTGTTTCACACATGTACCTTTTTGCTACAAAGTTGCTCTGGATTTTTTTATCCTTTATCACTTATGGGCTACCATCACTCAAGCTTGTGACAGCTTCTGGTGGTGCAGAACCATTCATGTTCTAACTTGTTATAGATCTAGCAGTATAACTAGAAAGACAAATTTCAGAATGAAAGTGAACTTATAAGGAGTTCGTTCAAACTAATTTGAATAAAATAAAGACTTTTTCAAAATAACTATAGCTTCAGTGTCAACTTCATGTATGTGAATACGATAAACCAAATGTTTTCTAAATTGAAAATAAAGAAAGGGAGTACCAACTTAGACATTAGCATGAGTGGATCAGATTTCAGATTTCACATTGCCATGAAATTATTAAATGAAAACATAATTCCTCTCCCAGTTAGTTAATTTTAAAGACAATCCACTGGATACAATAGACTTACCACCATCTACCTCAGATGGTCGGAGACAAGACACTATTTTTTACAAGAACAGAGGGTAAACAACAGACTTTTACCCACCCAGCTTCCTGGAGACTTACACAGCAGCTGAACAACTTCTCATAACAGCCCATCAAAAGATCATGTTTAAAAAAAATCATTCTTTGACTCCACACTGACTTCGAAGAAGATAAAAAATAAAACAGTCTCTGCTATTCCACCTATATCTGGAAATATAAGATTTAAGATATCTTTCCCTTTATAAAGACATTTGAAAAATAAGACAATTTTTTTTTCAAGATGTCCATATGTGAAAATCTTATATTTAGCAAAATTAAGATTATGCACTAAATGATGTCAGTTCAATAAACATCAAAATTTAGTGTTGGAAGAAAATTAATTCCAAACTATCTGTGTAGACTTCTGACATCAAGATCGGCCTGGAAACATGTATACACCATATACCTAAAAATTTCTGGAAAGATAAAAGCATTCAAAAGACCACAATAAGAATTTATATTACATACCATCCCATACTGGGGGCTCCAGTGGCTAAGTGAGTAGTGAGTTTTGACTCAAGCAATGTCAAGCAAGTGTCAGTGACACGGGGATCAGATGGGTGGTCACTGGAGTGTGTCCTTGAGCAAGACACGACAACCCTAGCTCAAATTACAGGGCGCTGCACAGTGGCGACCGACAGTGGCATTGTTTGTAAACTGTTCTGTATTTGTGTAATAGAGTGTATTTATGTATGCATTTATGCATGTATGTATTTATGTATGTACGTATTTATAATTATGTATTTATGTATGTATGTTTGCCATTGTAAAACAAAGTGCCCTTCTGGGACAAATAAAAGTGTAATTTATTATTATTATTATTATTATTACTTCTTCAAACACACCATTTAGGTGAACCTGTCAGAACAGCTAATACACGGTATATGCTGCATACTTGGGGGCAACAGAATCTTTATCTAGTGTCTATATAGTAACCAACAGGAACAAAGGATCTCATTTACAATTGGTCGCTTTTAAGCACAAGGGGGCTATCACGATAAATGCTCTTTTAAGAAAATCAAAGTTTTTTAATCCTTATTCAGTCCCTTTAAAAGACAAGGGGAGTTTTCTCTATAACCAAAAAAATATACTCACCAATGAAACCAAACTTCTCCTATGGGCAGGGCAAGGCCCACTTTTGGAGTAGATCAAGATTTCTGGAAACCCTCGAAATCTGGGTTAGCCCACTTGTCCTTAAAAGTGACCAATTTCAGTGTGTTTTTGTTTAATAGTTTCCTAATTCATCTTTCACCATAATCAGGATGGAAACAAAATGTATAAGGTCTGTGTATTACAAAGTTTATAATTAATGGCCTAATTCTAAAACATAAAACCCACCTACTGTGACAATTTGTCGCTGGATCAGACAAGAGAAAACTAAAAATTGCAAAACAATATAGTGAGTCTTTAAAAACTTTTCACTGTAGCAGAATAAAAAAACAGAAACCAGCCCTTGTTCAATGAATTCTCCAGCCAGACTTGTCAAGGGCCCAACATTTCCTTTACAGATCTGACTGACTCAAAAAGGAATATTTTGTGAATACAATATGCTAGCTTGATGCACCTAAATTCTGACACTATCATTTACATCCATCATCAAAAATTCATTTCACAACAAAAACCTTACGTCACTGGTCCTCGAAATTTCCTCATTCTCCATCAAAATGAGGGGCTGAAAACCCAAAACGGTTATCTCCTCTAGCTAAACAGATAAAAACGCTCCAGAGGCTCATCTCTTTCCACCGAAACACATGATAACAGCGACTGAAGTGTCTTCTTTCTTCACACTACTGTATGACATCAGATCTGTCAGCTCGTCCTATCATGACAACAGTAGAAGAACACAGACATAAACGTCAGTGCACAACACTGTGAAGACAATCCACTAAAAATCTTCACATTCGCCACACTGTCATGTTGACGTCCTCATTCTTCACACAACCATGATGCAATCCTCATAGAGTCCACTTTTTTTCACAATGACAAAACACAAAAACAGCAGCTTGTGGCTTGTCCTAGTGCCACTGTAGATGAGCACTTGTGTTGCCATCCCTCCAGGCAGGAGACTCTGTGGTTATCTGGGCACGACACATTGGACATGTCTTCTCGCGGTCAAACCAAATGGACACGCACTGCTCGCAGAATATATGCTGAAAAAGACAAAGAGTCAGGAAAAGTTGAAGAAACAAAACCATACAGAATTAAAAACAACGTATTTTCCCTTATTTTCTAAAAGTGAAAAATGTCTGTACTGTACCTTTTGCGTGACTATAGGAAAACAAAAAAGTCTGCATCTTCCCTTCATTGGAAGAAAACATTTCTTTTCAACAGTTTATGAGCATGTTTTATCTTGTTTGTTGGAATAAAGAGAACACTAATGGCCATATAGTGCCAGGAAAAAGCAAGACAGACAAATTACAGAAAGAAAGAAGAGCAATGAATCCGTTGAACCATCTGGACATGTTCTCAATCATGAATTGAATCAAAAGGAGTGGATAATGTAGCGGACACATACATCCAACCAGCAGCAGACCAAAAGCAATGCTGCAGTACTAGATACATTTCGAACCATTGTCTACAAAATCAGAGACACAAATTGGTCAATTTCACATTACTCACGTTCTTGCCTACCTTTCCAAGTTTCAGATAAAGAAAACAGATCTGAAAATCTGTATGGATAACAAAGTTATGCTTTTCTCTTAAACTGCTCTAAAAAGGCTCAACTTCAAAAGGTTAAATTAATGATTCATGCTCTACACCCCCATCAGAATAATTTAGCAAATTTAGAAGTTAGGCCCTTACCTTGCATGGAAGCATGACAGGCTCATTGACTGAATCCTGACAAATTGGGCACTGGCTGCCTCGCTCCAACATGTCCTGGGCGCTGGGTTTACAGCCAAAACTCTGCAATATTCAGTGAGTTTTGTGGATTAACTTTTGACATTAAGAGAAAATAAGTTTTTCAAACTTTTTTTTATTGAGAACAAATAAACTTTTAAAAAAACAAAAACTAGTTACAGAGGAAAATTAACTTTTTAAAAAAAAGGTCCTTCATAAGAGAATAAAATATGTTTAAAATAGATTTTCACATAAGTCCAAGTCTTTTTTCCCCTTTTTGGCAATGACACACACATTCGCTTTTTTCTTCTGAAAATATTCCTGCAAAGCAAGCTTTGACAGAGATGAGAACCAACTAATTTTACATTATTTTCCGTAAGCAAAATCCTTTTCTAAATGGACTCATCACTTGCCATGATGTATGTATAAAAATTTATCTGATCTTTAAAGTAATAGTCTATTAATCGCTCTCCAATATCTGCCTCTCCCCTCATCTCCATCCCTCTCTCTCTCTGTCTTCCTTCCCTTCTCCACTCTGTCTTAATAATAATAATAATATATAGAATTTGCACAGCGCCAATCCCCGCTCAACAGCAAGCTCTATGCGCTCCATAATCTATACTATGTCTTCAGTTGATCCCTCCAACAGACCACCATTTCATCAACTCACAGTGTTCGAGGAGAACCGGAGCAGGGCTGAGTACAAGAACTTGAAGGCTGACCACACTGACCAGGTCTGGGGAACAACACAAAATTATTAAAGAGTTAACAAAATTGGCAAGAAAAATAATAAAAGATCCAGTGAAGGATGATTAGCTAAACACATTTATCAGAAAACAGCGGAAAACCGAAAGAAAAATGAATCTTTAATTTTTTTCTTCGCTATCTACAAAGCAAAAACACTGATATATCAATGAATTCCAGCGGCCCCGCAGACTTCAACTTAGCAGACTCCACGGTTGTTAGTTTTTAGTTTAGATTTAGTAGGACTTTTATAGCACTTGTAACATGAATAGTTCATATAGTGCCGAAGATTAGAAGAATTACTAGAGAGCAATATACAAAGAAATGGAGGAGAGAAAAGAATGACAGATGTTTGATAGGAAAAAAAAGGAGCAAATCCCACCAAAGCACTCACCAACTACTCCTCAACAGGTAGTGCCATGCAAAATTATTCAGAAAAATGTCCCTGCAGAGCTAAAATTTATATAAATTTCCTCACACACGCACAAACACAAAAGTAAAAACAATAATAATAATAATAATAAAAATAATAATGAGGATGATAATTATAACAATAATAATAATAGTACTAATGATAATAATATATGACATGACATTTATATAGCGCTCAACCTCAATGAAAGAACACAGGCTTTCAGCGCTTTACAAATACAGCTGGAACACATAAGCGATCTTGCACATAATTTTTTTCTCAACAGGAATCCAGTGCATCTTTTCACTTTCTCCAAAGATATTCCTAATTTAAAAGAGTTACAGAAACAAGTCTGATAAATCTAAGGTATTTAATAATAAATCAGTATACTTAGTATTGATTATATGATGCATTCTTACTGGTTCTTCTTACTTCTAAATGCATGCAGTTGATCAGATGATTCACCTCAAATGACAATGATAAATTGGAATCAAAATAAATGTTGATTTTGTGCTTTTCTTGAAATTGTGATTTCTGAATCACTAATTTTCATGTGATCATTGTCAACCTCATTAATAGACTTTGCACTGCCTGCCAGAATGACTTCTGTTTCAATCATTATTCAACATCAATTTCTCTTTATTCATCCAGTTTTTCACCGAGAAAATACAACTTTCAGCACAATGGACCAGCATGAGCACACCAATGAGTTTTTTAGACAGTGACATTGACTTCTTCCATATAGTAAAAAAATCTTTTCTTTCCCACTATCTCGTTTTTTCGATAGTAAAGGTTTATATGTGTCACAACATGGTGGAATCAGGCGCTTGTCAATTTTTGGGCATGTGGAGTTACTGGTAACGTTTTAAAGCTTGTTCATTTGTCTAGCTTTCGAAGGAAAAAATACCCATCTATTTTTTTCTTTTTTTAAATTCCTTTTCTTTATTGCGGGAAAATCAGAGAACCAACTACTGAAAAGTCTAAGAAGAAGAAGATACAAACACAACATAAAGACTGAGCTGTGCTCCAAGAAAAAAAAGTCACATAAGTTTCACATCACCAAAAGTCCAAAAATACACATTTTACTGAGTGCCCCTCTGTCTCAGCAGCGATAAGAAGGGCGAAGACAAGAATGCCCCCCCCCCCCCCCCCTTCCCCCTCCAAAGCCACCTCTTCTAAAATAACGCCATATTTACCTTGAAGCAGAGATAAACAATCTCTGTGGCAAAGGCGAACCAGACGGAAGTCCTGGTGCTGTCGTTGAGGTAGAAGAGCCATGGCACCACTGTGACCAGCTGGCGATATAGCTGGGATATGCTCTCAATCAACAAGTAATACTTGCCCTGACAATACAAAAAAACATTTCACTAAATAGAAAAGAACAAGAAAAACCACGTAAAAGACTGTTTGTACATTTTTCTTAGGTAAGGTAAGTGTTTTACGGCGCTCGCAACTGCATAAGGTCATATGAGCACGCGGGAAACATTAAACATTTTCAATAGGTAGGAAAATTGAATTTTGGCCTGGTGGCCGCTGAAGCCTACTCTTATCGATTTTAGACCACCAAGGGGTCTTCAATGTGCCCAACTTGCACACGAGACCTCCGAGATTTTTCGCCCTTGCCCGAGAAAGCTAGGTGTAGATCTTTCCAACCAAAAGATCAGGGGGGTAGCTGAAAGACAGCAGTAAGAAAGAAACAAGGAGTAGTAGTAGAAAGGCTTCTGAAAGAGTCCGGAGCCAAAAGGAGGGGGCAAAGGAGGTGAGGGGGTGGAGGCAGAAAGAAAAGATGAAAGCAGACGACAGATAATTGCTAGAGAGCAGGAAAGGAGGTGAAAGGAGACAATTTTAGAGAAGAAAATTTTTCGGTCACTACCTGGATTTGAATCCGGGACCTTTGAATGAGAGGCCAACACTTAAACCTCTAGGCCCTGAGAGCCACATATCTTTATCACTACATTTGTGTATTAATGTCGACAATCATTTTTCATTTAATATTATCGATGAGACTGTGAGCCTGTTTGTGAGTGAAAGCCTATTATAGTATTATCACGTTTATAATGTACACAGATGTGTGTGGAGGCGAGGATGTGTGAGAGAGTGTGTGTGTATGGGTGTGCGCACGCACGTGCATGTGTGCGTGTGAGTGTCTTCGTGTGGGCATGGGTGTTTGAGTCTACCTGCGTGCACGTGCATGTGTGTGTGTTTATAAGTGGTAGAATACCAAACCAATGTGCCAGGACAATACAGATTTGTCCTATATTATACAGGCCCCTCAAAACATTCACTGGGACTTCCCCTACACTATAAATAGTAGTAGGCATGAATACCAACATCTGCAAACAAATTTCACTTCTCCTACATGCTTACTCTGTCTGCCATTTCGGTGTTTTCACAGTGAAAAGTTTTCTCGGTGAATGGTGTTCAAGCCTGTTTTCTCAAAATTATATGTTTATGTCCTTCCTCACAAAACATGCAACAACTCAATAAATACCTGACGTATCTGAAAAATGTCAAAAAAACAAAAAAACCTCAGCATTAAATTTACTATGAGAATACCCCTAATCTTTTTTTGGGGGGGGCAAGTGTTTTACAGCGCTCGCAACTGCACAAGGTCATATGAGCGTGCGGGACACATTAAACATTTTTCAGTTAGACAGGAATTTTAATTTTGCCTGGGTGGCTAGCCGAAGCACACTCTTATCTATTTTAAGACCACCAAGGGTCTTTAACAACATGCGAAACTTGCACACAGGACCTCTAAGATTTTTCGCTCTTATCCACGAAGGCTAGGTGTCAGATCTTACCTACCAGAAGATCAGGGGTGTGGCTGACAGACAGCAGTAAGAAGGGGCCAAGGAGAAGCAGTAGAAAGGCTACAGAAAAAGTAAAGATGAAACCAGACGACAGAACATAGAGACATCGGCCTTTGGCGTGACTGTGCCCTGAGCGAGACCAGTTCCCCATTTTTCCTTTTGTGCAGCTCGTGTGCAATCTGTTTTATTAGAGTTGCGTGCCTTGTCTAGTTCCACTTTCGGTCAATCCCTTTCCAAGAATGTCAGTTGTCTGCTAGTGCAGTAGTCGAATTCGAAGTGAAAGGCTTATCGGAAACATTCTTCGAGAAGTTTTCTTCAGTTACTTAACTAGATTAGCTGGCCCAACTCGCGACCACTTGTGTCTATACCCTCTGTTTATAATAATTGTTTTCATCATAAATTGCATAAGAAATGATTATACTAACCTTTAAATAGTGTACTAACAACTTTCCTGCACCTGTTATATCTGTGCGCGCATGGTCGCGCCCCCTTTCGTATGCGGTCGCGCTGACGGCATGCGGTCGCACCAAAGGCAGAACATTAAAATGTTAAAATGCGAAATCTGCGAAAGACGTTTTGGAATGAGTGACGATATCACGGTATAAACCGGAAGTAGACACACTGAAGGGGCCCTGAACATGGATTTCCTGACCTATTTTGCCGACAGAGACCGCTGGAAGCAAAATACAACAAGTGGTCGCGGGTTGGGCCAGCTGCTCTAGTTAGAGAGTAGGAAAGGAGATGAGAGGAGAAAAAAGAAAAAGTTTTAGAGAAGAAAATTTTCTGCCTTTGTCAGGTTTTGAACACCATAAACTCTAGACCACAACCCCCCCCCCCATCTTTAAAAAAGAAAAAAACAAGCCAATCCTTCAAACACACACACACAAACACACACACAATTGGACTAAAGGCCTTATAGTTATAAAATACAGTAACTTTCTTATCCTGAGTTAACCCAAGCTCTACACCACAATAAGAGAGCCATACTTTTTTTTCAATTCCACAACAGCATAAAGATTTTTTTTTTTTAAACTCACCCGCTTGCGATAATTTCGACAGCATGGCTGCATCATAGCAATAATAGACTTGGCCATGATTGTGAGGAACTTAACGATGTAGTCTGTCATGACCACACACCACAGCAAGGTCCACACTGAGATGTCTTGCACCTGAGCCATCTGGAAGAATAGCCTGAGGAAACCATGAGGGAGAAATGTTCTGATAAAACTGCTCAACTTTAAATGCACCTGATGACACAAACTATCTACCTCGTCAGGTTATCTACGTTATAATTATTTTTAGATAACCGTTTATCTTAATTCAGGATTCTCAAATCCCGTAGGACAATATTTTGCGGCCCCTGCTAGACATCCAAATATAGAGTCGGTGCCGCTCAATCTAGCTCATTTTTTTAGAGAGCCCCCCCCCCCCCCCCCCAACATATTCCGAGCTTTCCAGGAAGTTCAAGTGCACTATGTGCATTTTTGGTAGCACATATCTGTGTGAAAAGCTCTTCTCAACTGTGAACTTTATTAGTCAAAATGAATATCCAAACTTACTGCAGAGCATCTTCAAGCCATATGAAATTCTCACTTGTTTCCTCCCTCAAGCCAAATGGCATGGGGCTGAGCTATGCAAGAAAAAGTGCTGCCTAATCTCTGATAGAAAGGAGAAGGAATGAGAAGCAAAATATTATGTTCTGAAGAACAATTCATGTTCTAAACCGGTATTGATAAAGATTGAGAGAGATGTAGTGAGTTGTACTTTTTGAAAAATTGCTTGAAATCTTTTTTTCTAGAGAACACTTAATGCAGCCTAGGCTCACCCAGACTCTATCCCCAGAGCCCCCTCCAGGTAATTCGAGTTAGAGACCCGTCTCAAACCATGTCGCAGAAAATCTATGGTTTAATCATTATAACAATATTAATAATAATAATAACAATGATAATGATAATAATAAAAATAATAATAATAATAATATTAATAATAATATTAATAATAGTAGTAGTAATGGGATACCATACAGCATCTTATCCCTTGAAAACTCAAAATGCTAAAGAATGCAAAATAACACTCAACTTAACTAATAAATCAAAGGACAGAAAATGCACATTGTGTGTATGAGAGAGAGAGAGCAGGAGACCGAGAGAGAGAGAGAGAGAGAGAGAGAGAGAGAGAGAGAGAGAGAGAGAGAGAGAGAGAGACAGACAGACAGACAGACAGACAGACAGACAGACAGACAGACAGACAGACAGACAGACAGACAGACAGACAGACAGACAGACAGACAGAGAATGAGAGAGAGAGAGACAGAGACAGAGAAAGAGAGACAGACAGACAGAGATGCACACACATGCAAACACATGATGCAAGCACGACGCACTCACGCACGCATGCACACATACACACAGAGACACAGACACACAGTGTTAAACAAAGTACCTTTAGACTTTTCTTGAATTCTCTTATGATATAATGAGCGTTCTTTTTGGGAGAGAATTCCAGATTTTAGGGGCATGGGGAAAAAAAGCTCTTACACCTAACTTCTTAGATTTTACAGTGGGCACTTCATAAGATTCTCATCCACAAATCTCAATCAAAAGTAGTGATAGTATGTATAACTCAATAAGGTTTTTAATCTTGATGAAATCAGATGCTCATCAAAATAATTAACTCCAAGAAATTAGCCTTATAAAAAATTTTCTTTTTTTTTTCTTCAAATGTCCATTTTCTGTCTCAAAATTTTATGTGAGAACTTTACAGAAAAACAATTAGTCACAAAAAATGTAAATTTTCAATTACCCAGGACTCTCAACCTTTGGAAGTCACCAAAATCTGGCGATCATTTCATCGCAAATTTTACCCCTGAAACCAGGTGACCCCCCACCTCCTTCAAATACAAATATTTCGACTTCTATTAAAGATAGATGGGTAATTTTTCATCAAAAGCAAGACAAATGAACATGCTTTAAGATGATACTAAAACCTCCAAATGCCAAAAAAAAAACTGATGAGCGCCTGATTCCACCACGTTGTGACACCTACTGTGGTGCTGTGCCACTCATACACATCCGGCATAAAAGACCAATTTCGTTATTAAATGATAGCAAACACGTTTCTTACCAAACTTTCTATCTCGTCAGTAAGGTTTCAGACAATCTATTAAGTCAAACTATCTCTCAGACAATCTATTTTATATCAGACTATCTATCTGGTCGAACTATGTTCTCTGGCCCAACTATCAACTAAACAAGTCAGGCCATTTTCTTATCAGACAATCTGTTTTACCAGTAAGTTTTAAGACAATTTATTGCATCTGATCACCTGACTAATCCAAGAATCTATCATATCATGAGACTTTATCTTATTGGAGAATCTGTCATAAATTTTGTTCTTCTATGAGTTCCCTTGCTAGATCTCAGGAGAGTACAACTGATTTTGACGAATGTGACCATTTTTCTTACTTCACAGGGCCTCATGTAGTCAGATTCCTGTTAAGGTACTTAATATTTTTTCATTTCATACTGACAAGAGTATAATCAGTTATGGTAGGCTTTAATTTTAAATTTCGCCCGAGTTGTGGACGATGCCTACTTTTATCAATTCAAGGACCACCAAGGGATCTTTAAAGTGCCGAACTTGCATATGGGACCACCAAGATTTTTCGCTCTTAAACAAGAAAGTTTGGTGAGCCTGGTGTTCCATCTTACCTGCCCTACGATCAGGGGTGTAGCTGAAAGACAAATAAGAAACAGCCAGGAGTAGAAGTAGAAAGAGTCAGGAGTAAAGGATAGAGCAGCTCAGAGGAGGCCGGGGGTCGGGGGAGAAAGTGGAGAAGAAAGCAGATGAAAGAACAGGACCCAAAAACAGAAAAGGACATGAAAGTTGAACATATTAAAGAAATTTTAGAAAAGTTTTTTTCATCACTGTCAGGTTTGCAATCCAGGGACCTTTTGAAGGAGAGACAAACACCATACCTCTTGAACACCAGAGCCCCCTTATAATCAAGACTTGTCATATCTATCTTATTGGAGAATCTGTAAAACCAGTCTATCTTATTGGAGAATCTTCTATCAGATCAGACTATCTTATTGGAGAATCTATCAGATCAGACTATCTACGTATCTTAAGAACACTCACAGTCTCCATAGCCCTTGCTCTGAGAAGACATAGTAGAGGATGACAATGTTGAGAAGAAGGAAGCCACTGAGCCAGGCCAGATTGAAGAGACCCAGCCAGGAAATATTCTGCTTCTGAAAACACAAACACAGACATTCTCAGTTGACAAGACCTTGTCCAAGACAAACATTGTCGAGGAAAAAAGTGACCATTTAAGACAGGTGGTCCTCTTAGACAGTATAGAAAAAACAAGGGGAAAGTGGGAAGTGTTTGTTTTATATGGTTGCTTTTAAGGACAGGTGGGCTAACCCAGATTTCGGGGGTTTCCAAAAATCTTGGCCTTCATTAAAAGTGGGCATTGCCCACCCTATAGTAGAAGTTTAGTTTCACTGGTGTGTATATTTGTTAGGTTATAGAGAAAACTCTCTCCTTGTCTTTTAAAGAAACTGAACTAGGGGGCAAAAACTTTTCCTTTGATTTTCTCAAAAACACCATTTTTCGGGATAGCCCCCTGGTCCTTAAAAGCGACCATATAGGTAGTTGTCTTGGACAGTATGGTCATTACAGTAGGTTCAACTGAATTCTTTGTGTAAATTACTCAAAACCAGTGTCTTTGGTGTATAGTGGTTAGGCACTTTGCAGCCACATGCAGGAGACCCACGGTTCCCCAGTGGGGAGAATTTTTATGGAGTCTCTTGACCTAAATAGTGTCAATGTGGGTAAAAGTAAAAGCATTATAAAGGACAAAAAATCATCAGACCTAAAACAAAGTCATAGTTATTATTAAAAAAGTATGATGAAAACTCTAGTCATGTACTTCATATTTCATGTATGCCTCAAGCTGAGGTTGTGTGAAAATAAAATATGAACTGCATCTATGTGAAGCTGGAAATTTATCATAAAGTAAAATAACATTGTATAGTAATATTTTTTTAATGAAAGTAAGATTATCTAGGACAAAATGTCACATACTGTCTTGAAGAAATTACTGTTTGTACATTTTTGGGGATTCAAGGTAATAATATCACCACAATTTTCAGATTTAGTACCTGAAAATGCGTGGCCTGTACCCTGGTACAGGGTGAGAAAGAAAAGCAATGATGATGATGGTCTGAAAATGGCAAGATGATAAATAGATAAAAAGGAATGAATCAAAAAGGATCAGGAAATTCTCCACAAGTCTTGAGTTTGAATGTAAACCAAAGACACAAAAGAGAAAGCGAGTAAAAACCGATCAGAAAGCTCTGCCGCTATGGCTGTTAATGATTCTTCCACCTTCACACTTCAACTAATTCAAAACAAACAACTTTCCGACACAAAAACGTAATTTTGTCACCTACCCTGACAGCTGACTGGTGGATTGCATGCACCAACTTCATGTTGGTGTAATAAAATGTTCCACCCATACATAAAAACACCAGCAAACCTGAAATTACAAACAACGTAACTTCATTTAGACTGGGAAAACAAAAATATCAATAAGAAAAAAGAAAAAAACAGTTTGCGTCTAATGAACAGAAGAACCTTCACTATGTTGCCAAATTTTACACTTCCTAACGTCAAATCTTTATGTACATGTCGTCCACTGCCTTTTTGAGACTTTGGCCTTGGCGTGACTTATTAAAATATAAATTTGGTTCATATTTCATACTAGCCAAAAAGAGAATGAACATGATAATAAATAAATATATAGCATTTCTTTAGCACAAATTCCCATTCAACAGCAGACTTTATAATCTACATTATTTGCCAAATAGACCTGATAGCACTCTGAAACAATTTCAATTTCTGGGTAAGCATACAGTGCTGGCTGCAATGTTAGTGCTCTAACACTAACATACTGACAATATTTTTTGTCGCTTATATGGCTAGTATGTAAATTTTTTTTAAATGTCCTTCCCAGGACAGCGTCAGCTAAGCCTCGAAGCTGCAACCCCATGTCAAAATCTTGGCTCATATTTCAAAATTATCTGGTGCAACTTCCTCAAGGTTTTCTCAACACAACAACACCTCACATTAATTTTTTTTAAAGCAATGTGCGGTTGGAAGGACCACCCCAACAAACACAATAAAGAAGAAACCTGACCCAACCCCTAACCCTCAATTCCATAGTCCGCTTGTTATGGAATTCCTCCCATTCCATGTAAGTTCATTTACTATTTATTTGTTCAAAGTACCAATTAAAAAGGCACCTCCAAAAAAGAATGGCAAGGACGACAGACAACATGAAAAAAACAAATAACCAGTTATAATGGAACTGAAAGCAAGTAATGAAACCTTTTTAGCTTAAAACGTTATGGTCAACAACCACAGACAATACAACAATAATATGATCAATAACCAGACAGTATAAAGTAATCAACAATCAACCACAGCACATCAGACAACCAAACATACACACATTAACACAAACCCTCACAGTCAAATTAACTCTACACACTTCCATACATAAATAACAACAATCAAACCCAATCACAAACAAGTTTATACAGACACACCAGCACTAATAAACACACTTACCCAGTCTATGATCGTAGAGAAAATGAAGAAGGAGAAGTAAAATAAATATTCCAGACTCGGCAACCCATTTGTACAGTAAGCTGAGTTCAGCGGCTGGGGGTCCACCTCCAGCGCTCGCATCCCCTGCCCCCGCCCCCACAACAGAAGCTACAGTACCAGCTCCAGTGCCCCCTCCAGTGTTATGGGCAGACGTGGTGGTCCCGTCTGTCAAGGGTAGAGATCCTCCATCTCCACTGCCTCCTCCTCCGCTGCTCAACATCTGGAACCCGTGAGAGTGTGAATGTTCATGGCGATGATGATGAGAATGTCCCTGCGGCTGGTGGTGGCTGTGGGAATGCAATGAGTGGCCCAGGTTCAAACCCGGGGCTGTACGAGATGTGAGGGAGCTACCAGATCCTGTCCCTCCAACACCAGCTCCGTCCCTGACAACACTACTGTTACTACTACTGTTACTACCTCCACTGTTTCTTTGTTGACTGGAAGCTGCCTGAGCACTCCGCAGTAATGTCTCTAGGAGACCAGTCGAACTAAGACCAGATCGGAAAGCCCCGCCACTATTGCTGGTAGTGCCACTACTGCCATGTCCTGAGCCAAAACCTCCCTCGGCAGATGAGGATGTAGGAGGAGGGTGGAGGTCAAGGATGGTGTCCGGAGGATCAGGGAGCACAGGAGCTCCAGAGGACTCGCCACCACCTTGTAGATTGAGCTGTAATTGTCGCTGAAACTGCTGCTGCAGCTGCTGTTGTACATGCTGCTGTATTGACATCTGGTACTGCTGGGGTAATTGTTCCACCACTTCAGCTGGTGGTGTCAGCTGGGATGGGAAGTTGGGCAACAGCTCTCGTGCTACCGACAAGGGAGACCTCGGGATACGAGCCTGAAACAACAACCCAATAAGGTTTGTTAAAAATGTAATTAAAGCTTCATATCAGGTTGCTACATACATTCGTGTAATTTTGGAAAGAGAAATGGACAGCCAGATGTGACAAATCAAATGGAATAATATAATTTAACCATTGTATACTAAACAAATAAAGAAACAGATCTATGGACCCTTGATCAACACCGAATTGTAAGCATATAACTTAGTAGCTCAAGTAATACCACATCAGAAGTTTCAAAAACAACACACCTTTGTGAGTTGGTACAAGGCAGAACATTTTTTAACTTGAATACACAAAGACTGTACATGAACAATGAACACAACTCAGCTGTTCCTCATTACAGAGGTGTCCCAACTTTACTTAAACATTACTCTCTCTCTCTCTCTCTCTCTCTCTCTCTCTCTCTCTCTCTCTCTCTCTCTCTCTCTCTCTCTCTGTCCCTCATTCTTTCTGTCACTCTCTGCCCTTCTCTCCTCCTTGCATAGAATATAGACAAAATATGCTCTATATTTAGTATGTATGTATACGTTTGAGACATACATCCCTTTCTCACACATCGTGTGTATGTGCATGCGTGCGTGCGTGCGTGTGTGTGTGTGCGTGTATGTGTGTGTGTGTGCGTGTATATGTGTGTGTGTGTGTGTGTGTTTGTGTGCGTGTGTGTGTGCGCGCGCGCGCACGCGCGTGCGCTTAGTCTACAACCACATGAAACTTCTTCGCTCACGAAAGACACCCTCCCATATTGTTCCCCCCAGTGTAGACTCGCCTGCAGACCACCGGATTAATCTCAGGGTTTTTTTCTTTCCAGTTATTGCGACCACGTCCCTGATCTTGACCCATACCACAGTGGTCAACAGTTCCGGAGATCA